GTTCTGCGTAGTTTTTTCCCTTAGTCAACTTTTACGACATCCACGGGATGAATAGGGGTGGTGACACTCTGTATTCTTAATCCGCCACCACACGGATGTCTCTGTGATATATTAATAAATTATGTTTATAATTTTTTAAGTTATCGTTCCAAAAATAATAAAAATATGTAAATCCTCTTTGTTATTAAAACCTCAATCGTAAAATATCAGGTTTGTTATATTCGTGTAGCACGCGCATAGCATGAAATATTTTTTATAGCGTATGCTATAAAAAATATTTCATCTTTCCATCTCGTTTTTATTACGTTGTTGTCGAAAATGAACAATACAAAGGCGTTGGAGTTCATCATTATCATTAACAGCCTTTAATAGTCCACTACTGGACATACGCCTCTTCTTGGAAAGGAGGTTATGGCCTACTATACCACGCTGGCCAGACGGGTTACTCTAAGGTTTGTTTCAAGTTTTCCTCCTCTTTGCAGTGCGTAGTTTGCTCCCTTAGTCAGCTCTAACGATACCCACGGGATGACTACAAGTGGGTGATACTCTCACACTTAAGTAACAAAATTTGTTTTTTTTTTTTTGGTTTTCTGGTGGTAATATTAATACGTTTAGTTTTATACACATACTCAAACTATAATATTAATAACCTCACACATCTCACACACGGCTGTCTGATTCCAAACTAGGCAGAGCCTGTGCAATGGTAACCAGACTGCTGATAAACATACTTATATATTTCTATATCCATACATATTATAGATAAATTACACCCAGACACAGAACAAACGATCGTGCTCATCACACAAATATTTGTTCTGGGTGGGAATCGAACCCACGACCTCCGGTTTAGCAGTCAGGGTCACTAACCACTAGACCAACAGGCCCGTCATTCTACTATGTTCAAACTATACTACGAGTATGTTCACTCTACTATGTTCAAATTATAAACATGTTCAAATTCATCCGACGAGCTTTCTCTCAAACGAGGTTGGGGTCGGCTTTTAATTCGATTTTTTACGAGGAACGACTGCTATCAGAACACCACAACCCAAAAACTAGGCGATATCTAAGTTCTGTAAAAATACTGTTGTAGGACCTTTTAGGGCTCCGACTACCCGTAACGATTGCCACAGATGTTCGTATGGCAACCGGGACCGACAATGTGTTAAAAATGGTCACCCATCCATAGACTGACCTAGCTAGGACTGCTTAACTTAACATACAAAATAAAAACAGATTTTTATTTCGAAATGAACTTATTTGAAGAAAGCCGATACTTGAGGGATAAGAAATCAATGAGCTCTGAGTCTAAAAAATACTACCTACAAAAAAAACTTCGTTCAACCGTAAAGATTATACCTATATATTTACACATATTAATTACTATACTAGTACACAAATAGCCTTCGGAAAACTGTCTATCAGCCAAAATTACAATAATTGGAAATTCAATAAAGTTCCGAAAATACTAATCCTTGCAGTATCACTAAATAATATAGTTGTAATCACATCACTACACAATTTTACACTAAACTACATACATACAGAAATACATGTACATATGTACTTGCCGAGTTACACACATACATATTTTCACATATAATATATATAAAACTTTAGGGATGTGATAAATCTGCTAGGGTGTCTAACAATGTATTGAAATCCATGTTCTACCCCTGGGGGTTGAACATGGACAACATTAATGGGTAGAACGTGGACGGGGGTAGAGATTGTGGGGGTTGAACCTGGTTAAAACCCTAATTTCAATACAATACAGCATTTTTTAGATTATTGTCTCAAAATACACTTTAGAATAACAAAAGTGTTGATCAGAGGTACTAAACCAACGTAAAGAAACTGATTGAGCGTTGTTAAGGCTCGGCAGATCTGTATAACTATATAACTGTACCAAACAATTTCAAGTTCAACCAGCGTTAATTTATTATAATTGACGTTTAACTATTCGCTGTTACAGGTCATACACTATATCGTTATATAACGATTACGCTATCCGGCCTCCTACCGACATTCTCAATAAAAAAACATAAATTAGTGTGACATTGAAATATTTCAGACAAGAACACAAGAGAAGCCTTGTAAAAATATGTATAAAGGTTTTATAATTCAATTCCATGTGAATGTAATTTTATTTTTAAGAAGATCTTTTATGATTAAATTTCTCCTAGGTTTGGACCTCTGGCGGCAGATTGATTGCTGCGGTAGGGGATGGAATGGCCGGCCTGATTGCATTAAGATGCGATGCCGCCATGCCGTGATTGAGGGGTAAGTGTTCTCCCCTGGGATAGTGCCTGATTAGGCATGGTGTCAATTCGGGGAGGACCTGAAATAACATGGTCCGGGTCCTCCCCAGAGTAGGACACCTGAGGCCGGCCGTCGGGGTGGTTTTTAGTTTAAGCACCACATACTCCTGGCTCCTGAGTCCCCGAGGAGCAAGAGATCCGAAGGGATTTTCCACCCCGTCAACTAAATATAAAAAAAAGGTTTGGAATTGTTATAATCGTTGCTTTAAGATGAGCAAAAGGTAGTGACAAAAATTAATGTATATGAGTTGACCGATATAAGAGTAGAGGAAGACCAAAGAAAGGATGGATGGACTGCGTGACAGAGGATATGGCTAGAAGTAGGAGATTTGGCTAGGAGTTAGAAGGAGTAAGCACTGAACTGACTTCTCTTTGCATTATATTTCGTGTACGATTAAGGGTTTGGTGTATAATTTATAAGTTTTAGATAGATAGATAGATAGATAAATACTTTATTTGTACACCAGGGTTTTACAGACATTAGAAAGTAATTAACAACAGATGTAATGTACATAGGCCTCTCCTTTCTAAGGAGAGGCCTATGTACAGCAGTGGACTGTTATAGGCTGTTTGTGGTGGTTGTTGGTTGTAATGTACAAGGAGCGGCCTTATCGTTTAGTGCAATTTCTTCCAGGCAACCTTGGGATGGACTGGATTCATTTTGAACTGGTGATAGGTATACAGAAATTAGGGAAATAAATAAGGTATTTTTAATATGTTATTAATTAACTAAGACCTAGACTAAATAAAGACAAAGATATCGTAAGTATGTTTAAACCGTCAGTGTGTTTATACCGTCAGTATGTTTTTTATAAATAGAAGTGTAATTTATATTGAGCACTGAGGTTGCGTTGTTAAAAGTGAGAGTAACAGTACTGTTATACACGTCGGGTTGGGCAGGTTTTTAGTTAGAGAAATGAGGTATGTATATTTGTACAGGTTTAGTTGTATTACTTAAAGAAAAAAATTAAAATCCATATGTATATGGTGAAAGGGTTTTAACAACTGCTAAAGCATTGAACAGTTAAGTTATACTGTTAATGATTTTTGCAATCACATCAACAGCCTTTAATAGTCCACTGCTGGACATAGGCCTCTCCTTAGAAAGAAGGTTTTGGCCTACTATACCACGCTGGCCAGACGGGTTGGTATAGGGTTTGTTTGGGTTTGTTTTTTGCAATAATTATATTTAAATATATTTTTTCTAGTCGAAAATTGACGAGAACAGTATTCTGAAACAAAGGTGACTGCGGTTTAAGCGGTCGCCACGCCGCTTCCTACTAAGCTGAGTGTTGTGGGTCCGATCTCCACATGGGAGGATCTATAAATTGTTGTTCTGAGTTTGGGTGACCTTTGTGTCCGTTTCATGTATATTTGTAAAGTCCCCAGCGACACAGGATTTATTCCTAGAGCACGAGTTGTCTTTAAAAAAAAAAAATGGCCCAACCGGAATTTAATCTACGATCTTATTCTCAAGGATTTTCCGTTTATAATTTTATATCATCTAAATCATCACATTAAGTTTTACTCGTTTGACTTAAGTTGAAGTTTTGTAACTGAATCATTATAAAACAAATATTGGCGGTGAGGGGTGTTGTTTTCATTTAGCATAAATAATTACATTTAACGTCAAAATGATTCGCAATTATTGTATCCATACTCAGAGTCATTTATGGCACGATGTTTTTCTTAGAGTGTAGGAGAGGGAATTGCTAAAATAATCTCATAGCTAGACAATTAATCCTCACATAAATCGGAATCTATAAGTACTTAAATATTCAAATTCATAAAATACTATAAAAACCGTTAAAGACGTTACTTACATGTCAACATTTCATAATTGAGAAGTTGATACTAAAAAATTGTTCATCATTGAAATGTTTTAAACAAATGAAATGAAATGTTTTAAACACTTTACGGACCAAAAAAAATGTATAATTTAAATATAAAATATATCATTTAGTTGTAAAACTTAAAAGTTGTGCTCTCGTTCGTATGCTTGATGCATAGTCTGTGGTTAACCATTCAAACCTGTTAGTATCCACATTATTTGTGTAAGTTATTAAGGTGAAAAATAATTGTATAGCTGTTGATTTTCGATAAACTAATAAAGAAAAAAATACAAATTCTGACCTCAAGACAATACGTATTTTTCACTTTTATATTGAAGATTATTTCTTAGTTAGCCTTTATAAACTTTTTTTGTAAATTCATCATCATCAGCACCAACAGCATTTAACAGTCCACTGCTGGACATAGGCCTCTCCTTAGAAAGGAGGTTTTGGCCCACTATGTCACGGTGTATAGGATTGGTATAGGGTTTGTGTCAAGTTTTCCTTCTTTTTGCAGTGCTGCGTTGTTTTGCACCCTTAGTCGGCTCTTACGACACCCACGGGATGAATAGGGGTAGTGACAATCCGTATTCTTAATCCGTCACCACACGGATGTCTCTGTGATATATTAATAAATTTATGTTTTTACACGGACTAAAATTATTAAACTCTTTTAAAATAATTAGTCTTTTTAAAATTATGAAAAGGAAAAATAATCTCAGATAATAATAAAAAAATATTTTTAAAAAATTATGTCAATGTCAACAATGTGTAATTGTTAATAACTTTCCAAATGTATTGTACATGCATGCAAAATAAAAAATAATAATAAAATAATAATTACCTGATACTCTTTCTGCTAGCATCCAGTACTTGTTAATAATCGTAGTCCAATTGCTGTCAGAATAAATATCGTCTATGGCGATTTTCACAAACCCGGACATCTTGTATAATTAAAGTCACTGAACAAAAAGAAATACCTATTTTATTTTTCAGTCTCACTAGTCACTGTCACTTCCACTTTGCACAATGTATGCTGTAGCAGTCCTGGTAACAATTTGCCCTAAGCAAGCTGTCACCTGAAATAAAAAAAAAAATATTATGAGATATGATGAAAGCAAAGATTATACAAATTATTATTTTATTTTTATTTTAGTTTCGTGTTATTTTAGAAGTGGAAATAGTTAAAAGTTTAATATTGTTACAGTAATTATTTTACGAATGATTTATATTTTATAAAAATAATAAGAAATTATTAGTTAATTATTCATAACTTATTTAAATTAAGTGATCATTTATTTGATTACTTTGATATTATTTCAATTTTATTAACTATTTTAATGTTGAAATGTTTGTGGTATAAATTACTACAAAAAATTAGACAATCGTTTTAATATTTTATTTTCTTTATTGTAAATTTTTGTATTTAGTTTATTGAACTTAGTTTTTTTTTATAATTTACCGAAAAAAACTATTAAATGTTGCAGAAAATAAAATAAAAATTATTAACTAAGTAAATAATTCCTACCGATCGTATATAATCGTCAGCATTTTTCGTTAATACAATTTTATTAATGGTCACAGCACTAAACACATGCGCCTCTCATCTCACCGGATGAGAGCGAAAACTTAACTGAAGTTTTGCGAAAGTGCGCGCAGGCCGATATCCGAACCACAATTGAATATACCGCGCTTACTACACCAATCACAAGCCTTTGTACTCCCACGCGGCAGCAAGGACACAAGTCACATGGTTACGTTAAACAAATATGAACACTGTACACCAAACAAAAAGTTTGGTTTTTACGTGTACGTAAGTGCGGTCAGATTTCTTGAGTAGTTCAAAGTACGATATTTCTTATTTTTAAAGGTGATTTGATGTTATTAATTTTATATTATTGTATGTTGACGTAAAAATGATATAAGATAAAGACATTTTTTTTAAACTTCCTTTGTTACTTATGAGTAGGGGGAAGTCCCCTAGTGCCGGACACATAAGGTTTTCAGGAAATAAAATTAAAACTACATAGAGAAATATGTATTTATTTATGAATTACTTAAATTAACAAAACATAAAATCAAAATCAAATAACAAAAATACAAATTCTGCGTAAACATAGTTTAGGAGTGTTAAATAAGTTTTGGTAAAAAAATAAAGGACTTTGACATTGGCACCTAGTGCCGGACGGGTTAATCTTCAAACCCCAAGCGCCGGACATTCTAAAACTTTTAGCATCTATCACATATGTAGGCATCTCCACATTCTGGAACGTCTGCACATGCTTCATGAGCCCATTATTGGCATCTGGAGCATTGTATCCAGTCCTCGTCGTGGTCTTCTAAACACACTACACTAGTCGTTTTTTCTATATTTGATACTTCAGTTAACGGCTCCTTTTTGTTGTCGTTATTGCCACGTTTGGTTTGTTTACTCATGGGGAATCTTCATAGCTTCAGCCAAGTCGTAAGCTAACTTCAAAAACTCGTTTTTCATCAGGGGCAGACATCTATTAGACAAATCTCTTATGTGGTCCACTAAAACTTGCTCATACTCGGGTGAGAAGGTTTTTGTGAATCTACCAACTTTTGGTTGCAACGTGACTTCTTTTCCACTGCTCAATGTCGTTATTTTATCATGTAGAGTACTTTTTGGAACATTGTAACGTGACGAAGCTGCCCTCAAACTCATTTTTTTGGACAAAATCTTGTTCATCGCAGTTTTTAAACTTTGCTGATCCCATTTTCCTTTTTTTTTCTCTCTTGCATTTTCAAATATCTCTCTCCTTCTATCCTGTAAAACAACAAACAATCATCATTACAATAAGTACAATTGCTTCATAAAAAAGCTAACCTATAAACTGTCCGGTGGTAAGGGACACCTTTGTGTCCGAAAGTAGGGGACAGGAAACGTCCAAAATTACGTATTTCATACTAAAACTGTTTAGGTATTTAATAAAAACTTTCACAATATAATAATTATAGTGAAACACTGTCTTTATTAACAAATAACAAAAACAATTAAGGATAAAACCATAGCAGTAATACTTACTTGAAATTTACGTGACGCAACGCTTTCCCACCAAAAACAGCAATTCACGGCTTCCACCACGACTGTGCGTCTCACTGGCAAATCGCGTTGCGTGATCCTGTCTCTCTACGTTCCCCCGCACCCCTTTCACCGATTTATAAATAGATCGCGTTGACGTTTGTCAAAATAGTATGAGTGTCCGGCGCTAGGTGCCGTCCGGCGTTACGGGACTTCCCCCTACTATCGTGATAGGTATCTTGATGTTTCTTCTAGAAACACCACTCTGATTACATTTAACAAGAATATAAATAGCGCAATAGTTGACAACGGTCGACTGCACGGATGGCGTAGTGGTTTAAGCGATCGCAAGGCCGCTGCGTATTATGGGCTCGATCCCCACATGGGACACCACCTTGTGTGATCCACAAATTGTTGTTCTGTGTCTGGGTGTAATTTATCTTTAATATGTAGGTATTTAGAAACATATCAGTATGTTTATCAGCAAATTGGTTACCATAGTACAGGCTCGGCCTGGTTTGAGACCAGACTGCCGTGTGTGTGTGAATCGAACCCACGCCCTCCGGCTTAGCAGTCAGAGTCACTAACCACTAGACTAACAGGGTCTAATAGGTCTTTCCAATCAGAGAATAAACAACGACCCTATTCTGCTACTGCTCAATCAATTTCCTATCTATCAATTTCCTCACCCCAATATATCTCCATCACGTCTGAAACCGAAAATATTCCATAGTGGGGCGGCATCAGACAAGTGGTCGGCCATAAAACACACCAACCAAAGAATTCTAAAAATATTCTAAATAAAACTGTAAAAGGAGCAGGAAAATGAAGATAATTAATAATATCTCTATTATATCTTAATAAAGAAAATAATAAAAAGGAACAATGCGACCTTCAGCATTGTAGGTTAATTAGACAAGAAAATTTACGTACAAAAACGTGAGAATAAAACGCATATTAAGAAATGGCCGTGACATCCACACGTTACACGGAGACAAATATTTTCTACTGTCGAAATGTATGTGATTGTTTCAGGCATTTTTTAATATCAAGGTGACATACTAACATGCAGCACGACCTATTAAAGCGGTCAAATGTTTATTATGTAAAGCTTTATTTACCTCCCCAAGAAGTTTTAAAGAATATCCCTATTGTATCAGTAATAAACACAACCTGTAACATTTCACACACACGACCGTCTGATCCAAAACCATGCAAAGCCAGACTATGGTAAACAGACTGATAAAGATCACATCATCACATCAACAGCCTTTAACAGTCCACTGCTGGACATAGGCCTCTCCTTAGAAAGGAGGTTTTGGCCTACTATACCACGCTGGCCAGACGGGTTGGTATAGGGTTTGTGTCAAGTTTTCCTTCTCTCTGCAGTGCTATTGTCCTGCGTATTTCGCTCCCTTAGTAGCCTCTTACGACACCCACGGGATAAATAGGGGTGATGACACTCTGTATTCTTAATCCGTCACCACACGGAATGATAATGATACTTATGTTTATATTTCTTAATATATCCATACGTACGAGTAATATAGCATTCTATATCTATATATACATCCTTCAGGCCCTGAAGGATGTATATATTTAGAATGCTATAGTACGTTTACTTTTACTGCACGTCTTTCTATATATGCAGGTAGATATACTCTAAAAGTATACAAGTTTTTTCGTATCCAATACTACAATGCCTTTAGGGTGCTATCCGGCTTCCGTAGTGCATCCGGGATAACTGCTTTCACACTACTATGCGCAAACGGTGTGCATCTTTGGTGCGCAGGGTGCGGGGTAGCTAGACAAAACCCCCAAACTCCGGCAAAATGACTTTTATTAAACGTATACAGCTAACTAACGATAAATTTTATAGTTTTGTGTGTTGTCATTAGTAAATTTCTTCAATCGTCCTTATTAAATTTAAATTTCCACATAAGAAAACTAATTTGTTAGTTTTTTTTTTGCGCTTCCTTATATCAGTTAACCAAATTTATTTATTTATTTCACTTTATGCACTTTTGTACATTGGCGGACTTAATGCCCAGGGCATTCTCTTCCAGTCAACCTTTGGGTGGTGTAGAAATTTCGTAAGGTGCACAGAGGTTACGTCATAATATCAAGTGTTAAATAATAATATATACGGTTCACTACATAAATAAACATTTAGGGGAGAGTAACCAAAATTGAACCAGCGCTTAAATTGGACCACTTCTGTATTTCTACCAAAATGGCACTATTTGGTATAGTATATTAGCACAAAAAGAAGAGCTACAAAATGGCGGAGTATTAGTGGCGCTGCTCCTTTTTGTGTTGCTAGTGTGAAAAAAAAATCGAAATTGCCAATGACTATTATGTTCCTTTAGATTTGTCTTCCTATAATAATTAAAAATGCCATTTATATTTCTCAAGATATAATAATAGTTAAGTTGAGCTACATAGGGTTAAAAATCGATTATTAATAAAAAATTACCGAACGGAAGAGCTGATCTAGAATAAATAATTAAAAAAAAAAGTTGAACCGACTTCAAACAACACTAACAAATAGCAATAAAATTAAAACTTAATTACACATCCAAAAAACCAAAATAAGTGCCACCCTCAATATAACCGGTAACATTATGATAGCAATAGATACCTTCTAGTCTGTTTGAAGTCTATGTCGAAGTTCTATTAAAACTAATCAGAATGTATAACACGATTTCGAAAGAATGAAAGAGTTTTGATGTAACAAACATGAAACTAATTGCATAACAAACATTTTTTGTGTGTTTTTAAGTGTTTTGTAATCTCATTTATTACTTTCTTGTGCACATATCTTTGTAACCCAACACAAACTTCTAACAAATATCTTGAAATAATATAAAACAAGGTCAATACATGATTATATGATTG